ATGTCAGCTAAAACAGCAGTTGCATCCCCCAAGAGTTAGATTGTTGCTGTTGTTAACCTTTGTAGAGAAACACGCGAAGTACAGGCAGGTGCAGTCCTCAGGTGAATTGGCAAGAGGGTGTTGCACAGCCAAGTGGGTACTGTGTCTCACCAGGGAGGAATGGCAGGGATGAGCTTTACTAGCTGATATCACTGAGGTCCATTTGGCCTCTTTCAAACTCCTGCCCACTGAAAGCTCCTCTGACCTCCAGGGTAGATTGTGACTGGAGTAACTGCTTTCTCAGTGCTGCGTCCTGGAAAAAAGGAGGTGATGAAATGGAGTTTTAGTAGGCCCAATGAAAATAAATGGATTTTCTTTTCATTATAAATAATACATTTATACAGTAATTTATAAGTATTTTTGTAGTGTAAATACATTTATAAATACATATCTGGAAATTGTGCATATATGTATATAAAAAGTATATATTTAAATACATTTGTTTACATTATTGTATAATAATACATAATTTAACACTTTATAAAATATAAATGAGTCAGTTGGGAGAATCATGGAAAAGTAGAGTAGTTTTGTCTTGCTGACAGACTCCTGGGATACAGAAGCTGTTTCCTCTTGAGCACAAATCAAACATGAATGTCTGGTCCCCAACAAGTACAGTTTGTGTTAATTATTTTATTAAAATGTCCAATCACATCTGTCTTTTAAACTCTCATCCTTGAGAAGGTTGTTTGGTTGTGGATTAACCTTGTCATGAGTATTGAGGCATGTGACATGCTTGGCTATGGAACCAGGTATGTGTGGGGTCTCACAAGTTTCTGTCAACACTTGAGTGTTGTGGTTCTCTGAGATGGATAACATTGCTGCCATTCATTCTGAGTGGTGTTGCAGCTTCATTTGCACAGGTTTGATGGTATCTCGGGTATCCCAGCCCCTTGCTATAGGCAGTTCTCCATTATCTGAAGGTAAGTTTAGGTACAAATCACTTCAGCCAAGATGCTGGGTTTGGAAGATACTGGGTTAGGAAGATGCCTGCTTCATTCTGTGGTATGAGTACCACTCTTGGGTACTGTCAGTGTACCAGTCTTATTCCTCCCAATGGAAATGTGCTCCCTGAGCTTTCCCTCTGCTATGGTAGTGCTTTTATGTGTGCAGTGTCCAGGTAATGTTCACCTGTGTGCAATGCAAAGGGATGGCTACTCCAGTCTTCCCTGAATTTACTGCTCTGCAGTCAGTCACATAGCAGGAAAAGCAAAGCATTATTTTGTTCATGTCCACCATTGACAAATGGCATTTGGTTTTTGTCATCATTTTGTTTCTATCTAGGTGTGTGCCAACACACAGGTTTTCCATGCTTCCATTTTTTTTCTTTTTCTATCTCCTTGTCACCCACACATAGTACATCACACTCAGTATTTAGTGTGAGAAGCCCTAGGATAATTATCATTTGTTAACTGTGTGAAGGTGGTGGTTCTGATGGCTGCAGAATTCCAGCTATTGCATCCCATCATTATTAAGAAGAAAAAAGAAAGCTTGGAGGAAAGAGCCCTGCTTTCCTTCTTGAATCTTGGGGCGTTTGGGAGGAAGGAGAGGGGACAGATTAATAACACTTTAAAAGTAGACAAAAAGTGCTTTTCCTGTGCTGAGTTTCATATTTTTAACCTTTGCATTTTGAAATTTCAGAGTACCACTTTCCGTTTCCTAAACTGATGACACCTGAGGAAAAATAGATCTTTACAGCCAATTGCCTCAAATACTACAAAGACATAAGTGACATTTTGCACATGCCCTGTAAGTGCAGACCCAGTGTATTGCTGGGAACCAACCTGTCACAGCTAAAATACAATAATGCAAAAAGCCATCAGCAGGCTGAGCAAACCCAGCCCTTCTTACATGTTACTTCTCCAGTGTTCTGTCTAAAAACTATTATCCTTTGGAAAAGTAGCTGACACATTTTAACGAGGAGAATCAAAGTGCCTCTGTAGGGTTCCCCTAATTTTAATACATTCATAATCATAGAAAGATTATATTGGAAGCCATCTGTAGATAAATGTAACTTCCTAAGACAGCTTAAACTACTGAGCCATTTTCATATAGCCCATTTGTGACATCATCAGATATGTTCACATTTCTGAGGCCAAAATAAAAGGTGGCTTTGTGTTAAGTTATTTAGAAGACACTAAAAATCATAAAAGGAGCCCTGATTTTAGATAAAGTGAGTGCATGCAGGTGGTTACACAAGTCAGTATTCAGGCAGTGTTTGTGGTTTCTTAGCTCACCAGTTTTATCTACAGAGCAGCAAAGAGAACATGGATTGTGTTAGCAATCTCCCATGTGGCAGACGCTCGTAGGCCATGGCTGTAAGTTGGAACCTGGGCTGGATGCAGCTGTGAGAGGACTGAGGGAATGGCAGAACCCATAACACTAACGGGCACAGAGAGGGTGTCCCTTGGCCTTCTATCTCCTGAGCGCCCCACCAGTCGCGTCACACCTCTGAAGTCTTCAGTGTAGCCAAATACTACGTGGCGCTGCGAATACACGTCAGAGATGTGGATCTCTGCTGGTTCTGGCACTGGAGAGGCAGCTGTAGCTGCTGGCCCGCTGTACCGGTGAGTCTCCGCCAGCAGAGGGTGGTTTTAAGACCGTTTATGTATTGCTTTAATGTTTAAACACTGTATGGGCTGAATATTGAGCATGATGACCTTACTGCTTCCTTTGTTTCCTAATACGTCATCTTTAGTAATTGTAAGAAAAATCTAGAAAAGATTTTTCTCATTTTTTTTCTGTTGTTTTTGTTTGTTTGTTTTTCTCTGGCATCATTCTTCCAGGTAAGAATAACCAAAAATAACTAAATTTAGGAAGACAGGTTTGAAATAATGTTGGTGATGATTTAGAACTACTTTAGCCTAGGACCAAAGTACTTGAAATAAATAATCGAATAAGTTGTCGGTGTTCTAGCATTTATTAGGGATTGAAACATAAGCCACTAACAGTGAATGGAAGTCATCTCGCTGAACTTCAGACACCCAGCAGGTGCCTCGTCTCAGTGTGGGCTTTCCTTGCACTCTGCCGAGAGGACTGCACACATATCAAGGTTGATTTCAACACCTCTTATGCTAATTCAAGAGTCTTAAGTTTACAGAACACAAGCTAGCAGAAGCGTGATCCCAAACAGCATTTGTGCCTGTATTATTATCATGTGGAGTCACACTATGCACGACAGTTAATGACTAGATAGTTAATTATGGGAGTAACTTATACAGGAATGAGCTCAATTCTTGCGCCTGTGTTGCAGGGAGGCAAATTTGTCTCTTGAGATGTCTTTTCCTTTCTGTTGACTACAGAGGGAGCAGAGGTTAGAACAGCTCAACATTAGACATCTGACCTACACATCTAGCTGAGGTACATCTCACCCACTGTGCCTGCAGGCTGCTGCTACTACCATTGGGTAATACTCTGCCTCCTCTTTGAAGGTCTGTACACACTTAATAGATTTTATGGATCTGATTTCACATCCAAGGGAATAAAGTGTGACAGTTAAAGCCATGTAACTAGTAGATAGTCATTAACTTTTCTGAAATCAGTAGAATTCCCCATGGGACCAATTGCACATGTATAAGTAGTTCAGACTGTCGTTGACTGGAAACCTGTTGGGAAGCTGTACATAATAAAAGGTAATAGTAAATGATGATGGAAAATGCATCATGTTCTAATATATAGTGATTTATATTCTGAATTAGATGTTCTGTTGAGAATTTTCCTACACATTTTTAAGTAGTTTTAAAAGGTTTGAACAAAAATTCAACAATTTCTGTCCTTGATTTCCATTTATTTACCACTTGGAAACTATTTTCAAAATGGAATTCCTATCTAAAGGTCTTTAATTAAAAAAAAAATCTGAGTACCAGCAATCTTTTGAACTATTTTGAACTATTGCAGAAGTATAGTGCAGATGAGGCCTTAGTATTTCCTAGAGTAGGTAAAATTCCTCTCTGTTTGCAGAAATAGAGCAACCTAGTGACCAACTCCAGCAAAAGATCAAAGAGGCATCTTCCCACTGGCTACAAACTGCAGATAACCTCTTGTTTTCCCTTCCACAAAACACAGGCAATATCAAACATTAATAGGATTCACATCTTCCTCATCTGCAGGGATTAAGCTTTATGAACCTGTTTCCAAAGCCACATGCAAGAAGTGTGTTTGATGTATTTAAAGACAGAGAAATGCCCCAACAATTATTAAGGAATTAGAGGAAAAGGTTCAGGAGGATAAAAGGTTATTGCAAACACAAGGGTGTATGCATGACACCATCATACTCTGTGGCTCTTCCAGAAGTTTCCAGTCTACAACAGACTGTAGAGAGCCTTTTGCAGGATTTAATGTGCCCAGTACTTGTGCTCTGCTTAAGGTTAATAACATGGAAAATCTTATGATTCCTTGCTGTAATGACCTGTTTGTATACAGATAGGCTTTCAACTTATGGAAATGCCCCATGGTTTATGAAATAGCCTCTTCCTGTTTGCAATGATGCAGTGCAATATTGAGTCATCTCTAACCTTTTACCCTTCCCTGTACAAGCTCTTTGTTGTTTGCGACCTGGCCCTTGAGATTTGGACTGACGGTACCAGACAGCAGTTTTTACTTGAACTAGTCCCAGTTTTACCAGCTTTGGATGAATTATTGCACTTTCCTAGGAAAAAGGTTTGATCTACATCACTGCTGATTTGAATTGTAACAAATTGCTAAAAAATTACCTGTGTGTAGTTTGGGTTGAAATAATGAATTCTTGATTTTAGGGATTAATTGCATTTCCTATATGCACCTAACTCTCCTTCCATAGAGTAATGAGTCCAGGGGCCAAGAAGTTCTGGATGCAGATGGAAAGTACATACTGCAGTGTTCCACCAGATTATATTTTCCTATCTTTTGGAGAAAGCCCCTAATGCCAGTGAAATCTCAGCAATATGACACCTGACCCTTCAAGGGATGAAATAGAGTAAATGAAAACATAAGATCTTTCATCAGGTTTGCACAGTTGGGTATTTTATCCTTTCTCTACAGCATATAGCAGGGGCTTAGGTAAAGCAGGCTGGATGGTCCTTCTAATTCATGGGGGGTTAGTTTAGTTTGACTCTGAAAACATATCTTGGCCGAAGAGCTGCATTTCTAATGGCTGTGCAGTGTGTTGGGTGTCCTGCCAAATAGCTGGGGACTGCAGCACTATGTTGTTAATTCCTTTCTGCCAGTGAGACATTCCTGTTCATCTCTTGGACAGTGTCATAAGTCACTTATTGGTCTTGCCTGTTGCTGGACACAGCTGATATGGTGTGAACTCAGGCATAGTGTGTATGCGAGTAGCCATCGTGCCTTCCTAGGACCAACTCAATTTAGCTATTATCCTATAAAGAAAGAGAAAAGAACATTGAACAAGCCAAATTACATTGGTGGGGTAAAAGCTTTGAAATGCAATGACTTTAGATATTGACAACTGACAGTTGCTTCATCAAGGCACAGAATTTTTTAAAGTATTTGACAAGGAAAATACAGATGCAACATGATGAATTTTCTTGTGGAACATTTTAATGGATATGCTCAGCTTTCCCAGTGGGATCTTACTTTCTTAGAGCAGGGATTAGTCACCATTTACTTGATTTGTCTGAACTTTCTGCCAAAATCAACAAGGAAGGAATTGACAGGACGGACTTTAGAAACAAGGACGTTGTGACATGTTTGAAGAGAACGCATGCTCAGAGGAGGGTCTGATTTTGTTTCAAAAAGCAGCTTCTTATCAGCAAAACAAGCTCTACTCTTTCCTGTATGTGTCTTGTCTCTGCCTTGCAGCAATGCTGAGATGTTTCATCTTGTGGGAAGCCAAGGGAAAGCGATTTACTAAAGGCAGAACAACTTTGCACATGTTATTGCAACTCCAGTCATTCTATTGAATTCAGCTAAGACAAGCACTAAAACCAGCTGTGACTGTAAGGATTTGAAGTCTTTGCAGTTACTACAGGGTCTGTTCTCCTGAATCAACACATCCTGCAGCTTCTATGACAAAGGGAAGAAGTACATACTGTACAGCAGCACAGGAAAATACTACCCTGCTCTGTGGTCATGGGTGACATGGGGGAAGACATGTCAGTCTCCCAAGGCAAGTCAATAGGGCAAAACTTCAGTCATTGAAAAATGCCATTTTTTAATACACAAAAATCAAACTTTGCAAAGGAGATGTGAGGCAGTGCACAGAGCAGTTATATCTTTCAGAAATCTAACTGAACACAAGTAGCCAGGAGTCCATGTACTAACTTAAAGCAGCAACGATACCACTTCTCTCTCCATTCTTCTCCTCGCTCTTCCCTGAAACACTGCAACCAAAACTGACAGCACACCACGTCTTCCCAAGCCCCAATATTCACTCACACATAGAGGAGAACATGGGAGGCTTTTTAAAATCCCCCTGACAACTGGTACAAGAAAACTGTTTAACTATTAGTGGAATGTCCTCTCATAAAATGCCAAACAGTCTTGTGTTTTTCAGGTCAAAAGCTAACAAGATGAACTGTGAGCTCTTATTACTTTTCTGTTCATCCACAGTAAAAATATAGAGTGCTTTAAAAATGTTGAGAACATGACAGTGATTGACAAGAAAAGAAGGCATGTAAGGAGATACTGTGCTGAAGAAATTTTAATTATTTTAATTATTTTTGTAAAACAAAATTCATACTGATAGAGGTTCTTGCATTTGCAGTGTCAGCCAGGAGCCAGGGCTGTTTTCTCAGCCAAGACCCTTACACACTCTGCCTTGCACCCTTATGAAAGAACACCTAATTTGGTAAAATTTGGTAAAATCCCAGAGTGACTTTAAGGAGAAAGAGCTGCTTGAACCACTTGTTTTAACTTTTTCTCAGTGAAAGCATGTCTTAATTTTAGTGCATCCAGTGCATGTGTGAAGCTGTTTCCATAATTTTTATTATTGGAGTTCATATGAGTTTTATAACAGCTGGTAGCTGATTTCTGATCTCACATAAAGTAACAATGACACACAGAGAGCGGTAGTTGTAATCACATTAAGTGTGTCAATAAGAAATTAGCAAAATTTTAAAGAAATTTTAACTGACAGCACGAGTGAAATTTGATCTAGACCTTGGGTAGCGGGTTATGGTCTGATACTAAGGGCCCTAGTGTTGGATTTATTGTATCATTAAGCCATGGTCAGAGAGGAGGAGAGTGAACTGTCTTTTACAGTTTTTAAAAACGAAAGCACTCTGCCACTGCTACATTCCTCAGTGAAAAAGCCAGTGCTATATGAAAATTGATGTTGGAGATGATTCAACCATCATCTGTCTACATGTTAAATCTTCAAAATACTCTGTGTAACTGCATAGAGATGGCAAAGAACAACATAAAACATGTACTAACGTGGAGATTTAAAGATATCACACAAGCATTTGTTTAACTGCATTTGTTGAACTGAGCATGGGTACAGTTCTTGTCTGCTTGGATCATTTAGCTGGCCAAAGACCAAAATATACACTTAATATTCCACAGCCACCTATGCCCAGTAATGACAGAGTCCTCCAGTGACATGTTAACTGTGTCAATGAAATATTAGCTAAATAGTAGCTGGGTATTTCAGGTTATAAGAAAACTAGACCTTCATTTCATTCCAAGAAAAGCTTAAAAAAAATTACTTTTTTCATTATGTGATCTGGTTATCTGCTGTGGTAACTTGGTGACCAGATAATCTGAATCTGCTAATTTATTGATTTAACTGAAAATGGAGCCTAAATCATATAAAATATAGATAATTGCTTTGTTTTTAATCAGTCTGGTGAAATTTTAAGTAAATTAGGCAAATGTGCTTTGTGAGATTCATGCGTGTGCATTCACCCTTCTTATGCAACCCACACGTGGGACACAAGATGTATTTACTTCATCAGACCACAACCTGGGTCACAATCTGTGAGGGCATACAGCTCTGGGGTGAAATCACCAGCCTCTTGCATCCATCTCCAAAGTGACTGCCTACACCCCATACACTACACAGACTCTAGCATCCCCAATAAAGTGACCACAATAGATACTTATCTTCCAATACCGAGAATGTAGCTGTTTATAGATCACAAATATGCTTATGTGCTATGGATTTGCTAGCATGCCTTCACTTACCTGCATAAGTCAACACAAGACATAAAATTGCCAAATATATTCACCTCTAATGAACATCTACCTAGATACACAGCAGGTTTGAAACAGGACAAAGGAAGCAATTACAGAGCATCCAACCAACTGCTGCAGGGCAAAGCAGCTGCAGCCATAGGGCCTCCTGCAACTTCCAGGGGTAGTACCTGCTTTCTTCATGTTTACTATCTATTCTGTCCCTGTTACAACCCACCCCAGAAAAAGGGGAAGGGGGGGGTAACTCAGGTTTTTATCAATAATTCCCTTGGGGTGGATTAGAGTGAAACGACACTGAATAATTGGTGTTTGAAAACATACTGACAAGGTTTATTTTAACAATTCTGTATCAACAAGCATGCTAACAGTTTGGGTGTTGTCATAAAACAATGCAACATAGAGATAACTTTTTTGAGGGGGAGAAACTGTTTAAGGGAGAGGAAAACCAGGATGAGAGTAAGGGAAAAGAGAAGCTGAGAGTGCAAAAGAAATGGACATAGTAACCGCCCAATGCTTGAGAGCGATGGTCATGATTCGCAGGCGGTGGGGGAGAAGGAGAACCCAAATTCTCAAAGTCACCAGTCAGTTTATATACCTTCAGCATGCTTTTGTACCTCCCTGGCATGAGGAGTTGTTTGCCTTTTAGGGCTTAGCACTAGAGGGAGGGATGGGCCCGATTGGCCACCTGAGGTATCTTCTTGCCTTTTTAGGGCTTAGCACTGAGGGGATGGGCTCAACTGTCCATCTGGGGTATCCCCTTGCGCTTTTAGGGCAAAAAGTCAAAGCCTGCAAACTCCTGGAATGCATAAATCATTAACTGTTTCAGTCTCTGACAGTCCCCTGGAACATGGTTTATAATAAAACATACAGGGTGTTGTTTTGGTGCCAGGGAAGATGCTGCCTCTGTCTCGAAGATGCTGCAGCCATGGCTGGACCCTTGGAAAGGGTGCAACATACTTTTCTTTGGTGCAGTTAAGCATCATGAGTTGGGTGAAAGATCTTAAAGATAGGATGGGACAGAGAGAAGCATTTGAAAGAAAGAACCTGCCCTGCAAGGAGTTAATTTAGAAACTTTCTGTTCTGCCTAACTTGAAGTATTCTCTATAGTTGGGGGGTTTTTGGTGTTTTTTGTTTGTTTTAAGTATTCCTTTATGTTTAACAAAATCTGATTTCTTAAGTTAAGAGCTTTGTGTTTTGCAACAATTGTTTCGAGGGAAAACTGGAAGTAAGTCCACCTCAAAGATCTACTGACTCAGCTGTAAATATAATTATAAATGTTTATTACCTCTGAAATGAGGATGTGCCTGCCTTTAGGTGTCTTGCAGGATTATAATGTGAATTCCTTAGTTAATTGCTGAAGATGCTGTTCCCATGCCCTATGCTTAGTGCACTGATTTGCATGCTTACAAGACAAAAGCAAATTGCAGAACAGAGAGATCTGAATGTAAACCCATTGCTAAACTTTGGCCTGGAAGCATCAAATTGTTCTTCTGATCTTTCACATTTACAGAAGGTGAGTACAGAGGTAAGGAGCAATAAAAGGCCAAGGCAAAGGAGAAGGACTCTAAAGCACCTCAGCAGAGCTAACCTGTTGGGCTAATTAGTCACTGTGATTTTCACCCTTTTAAATGCTTGTATCTTTGCACAGTTTGCAGCATGGAGCCCTTTCTAACAGATGCAGAGCTTCAACAAAGCATATTTGCTGCTCCTCTACCTGTTCATGAGCTAGTGCATGCATTTTGCAGTGTTTCAAATGTGGGTGAAACAAATAGGTACCTTTATACTTCCTTGTACCTGTGATGGAAGCAGCGAGGGGGGAAAGGCAAAAGAAGAAGCCAGAATTTCTGCTATCAGGAAGAAAATGCAGATAGAGAGAATCTAAAAAGATTTTATTTGAGCAACCTATTAATGTGCCTGCTTGCTTCTGAGTTCTGCTGCAGCTTACCAGTTCATCAATACATATATATTCTGCTTATCTGCTGTATTTACTTGGTGACTGGATAATTTAAACCTGCAAATTTATTGACTTAACCGAAATTGCAGCCTAAATCATATAAAATACAAAGGAGATATGTATATATATATTTGGATTATCATGGGTCAGTTTTATTATGGGGCTAGATTCTCTCTCCTTTCACAGCATTGAATTTCAAAGCATTAGACACAGAAATACATGACTTTTACTCTTTGTCTATGTATGTTTAAAATTATGTCAAGATACCCAAACATGGTATTGTCATATATAAAGCCAGCTCAAAGCAAGAACTGGCTGTGGCCACGCCAGTAACATGTCCCAATTCTATCTCACTTGGCACATCTCCAAATGCTGATTCTCACAGTATATCCCAGCATACCAGAGAACAGTTTGTTAGTTCTTTATGGATTGTTTATGATCGACAATATTTACTGTATGTACATTTTGAACTAACACAGTGCTGCAAGCAGACAGGGATATTAGGCAGCTCTATGTTCCTATACTATGCAGATAAACTGTAGTTGGAGCTATTTTCCTACTAGCAACTCAGGCAAATGGATTGTAAAAGCACTTGGGTATTAGCCTAGGACTTTTATGATGGTTGTAGAAAAGAACATTCTGAATACTTCTGTAATCATTCCCATTTAGGTCAGCCAGTGAGTTGTTTTACGGTAGTGTCTATGGAGTCCTCAAAAAGATTGAACTTAGTCTGGCATTTACTGAGGGAAAGGCAAGGGCTTTAGGCACCACCAGTATGGAAGAAGTCATCATGCTCATATCACTGTCTTCCAGCTTGGGGAACAGGCTGTCAGGCACAGATCTGCTGTAGGGCACCTCTTTCAAGGCCACATTCTCTGTGGTCCCTTCCATGTCCCCCACACCAGTGTGCCACTATTGTACTGATGTGACTGATGAGCAGGGTCTACTCAGACCATCGATGAAAGAAGTGCTGATTCATGAGTACCTTGTGCAGGACCCCTTGTGCAGGGTCTGCAGGGGTGCCATGGCTTTACGTGGCCCTTCCCACCCACCCTCAGTCACTTCCCACTTCCTCAAAACTTTTTCAGCACAGCCAAGAGAGCTTTCCTCTTCAGTATACTGAAGTGATTACTCTGCTATAACAAAAATAGGATTTTTTTTTCCAGGAAATGTAGCTAAAGGCACGTGTATGCAACTGTGAAGCCTTGGAGATCCTCTGGAGATGGATGCAGGCAGGGCAATCCAGCTTGGAAGTCCCCAAGAGCAGCATAACAAGTGTATAATCATTATGTCCTTCTACTTATTCTGGCCTTGTATAAGATGAAGCTGTGTGTCATATACTTAATATTAAATGGACTGAAAAGGTCACTTGGTTTCTCTTTAATTCTTTTAATCTTCTTATAAGATACAAAATAGGCTTAAGTCAAAAACTGTTCCTTAATGTAAAGGGTTGAGGGGGGTTGTTGCTCACTTGGCGTTTTGTGAGGATGACAGCTGTCCCTTAGAAAGACTGGGTTTGCCAAGCACTGGTTTATGCCTCCTTGCTCAATATCCATAAAGATTTCTAGGAGACAATAACAATCATAGCAGTAGGAAGAGTCAGAACGTAGTTAAACCTCCCAGCCCACACACAGTAACAGGAAAATCCTGTTTGAAGAATCAGGGAATAGCCTATTCTGGATAACAAGGGGTAATGTGCTGATAATGCTGCAGTCCCCCCATCCTCTGTGTGGTTACTCCAGCAGCAGAGTCCAGCCCACTGAGATTTAACATTTTTTTACATTATTTCATATAGGACAGCTGTACAGGGTGGGATAAGGAGAGAAGGGTTTCTTGAAAGTGCTTCTGCAGTTGAGGTAGCAACGATGTTATTTCGTGAACATACAAACTCAGGTCACTGCAAGAATAATTTGTTTTCTGATCCATGCCTGGGTTTTCTTGTGCACGCTGAAACCTAGAGAAGGAAGAGATGTGTTGGTAGGGAGATGCATAGCAGTGCAACCCACCCAGCATGGGAGTGGGAAAAGAGAGGGTGTCTGTTTTGCCTCCTACTCAGGGTCCCATGAGTGTTAATGTTGCTGGAACCACAGCTGTGTTAAGTAAGAGTTAAAACACCTGCAGGCACCCATCTCAGGTCTGCTTCCATGAAGACATCAGGGAACTGTTCTTCTTCAGAGCTTGGTGTTTACACTCCCTTTCCCCCCCACACATTGATTTTTACAGTGGTAGTGCAAAGATCAGATGCTTCTCTGTTAGTCAGGTCTGCATGCACTGTGAGCATGCAGTAGTGCAGGCTATAAATTCATTATGTAAATCGATTCCAGCATTTCTAGTGGATTCATTTAAGGTGTGTTACTCTAATATCGTCAATAAGAAGTAGGATTTGAAGGGTTTGGTCTTTGTAACTAACAAATTAAAGGCCAGTCATCTTCACTTCCTTCAATTTGGAGCAGATAAAAGGTTATTTGTAAGCATTTGGAAAACAACAAGGAAATTAGTAGCAGCTACCATGAATGCATCAGGTAGAAATTATATCTGGTAGAAATCACAATCAAATTTCTTTCTATGATAGGCTAACAAGACTCATAAGCAAAAAGCTGTAGATATAATTAGATATGTGGACTTAAGTGAAATTTTTGTCTTGTGGTGCATTTTCATAAACAAACTAGCTAAAACCCCTACAGGGTCAGCGCAAATCTGGTTTCATATATTTTCACCACAGAAAGGTGGCTACATGTTTTTATCCTAGTTTTTTTCAAAGTTTCTCTAACAATACACATGGTGAAATAGAAAATACATGTGTGAAATTTGCTGATAGTGCAAAAGGGGGAAGATTACGGTTATAATGGAGGATGGGATTAAAATTCAAAATAAACTTGACAAGTAGAGCAACATTTTGAGGACTGAAATGCAATGGAGAGCAGCACAAAGTCGTGAATGATTGGGCACACAGAAACCAGGGGAGAAAGAGCTGGTGAGCAGTTGGTTTTCCCAAAAGGATCAGAACACACCTTCTACCACCTGTCATGCTTTTGCAACTGTTGCCTGTGGCAGAAATATCAGCTGCATGGATACGCCTGGATTAGGTCTTTACTCTGATGTGGATCCATTTGCTGTCATTATTTGGAGCGGAAACCACAACCAGAAGTCTAGAGCTTTCCAGTCTCTTTATAGTTTATTCCACAGAACTGGCAGGCTAGAAGTATTTCTAAAAAGGGACCTAGGAAAAGTAGATATATTCTCCCACACCAACTTCAAAACATTTAGTAAGTGGATGCAATGCACAGAAGCATCAAAACCCCCAGAATGTCCTGCAATCACAAACAGCTGTGATGAGAAAAGGAAAGGCAGGAGGGGCTGTTAATTCAGATAACAGCTCCCAGCACAATGATCTGGCATCTACAATCTCCAACACATGCAGGTGACCACTAAAGAAAGACACATGACATGTTGTTGTGGTTCAGCCCCAAAAGGCAACTAAGCCCCACACAGCCACAGCCGCTCTCTTACCTTCCTACCCCAGTGGTAATCCGGAGGGTAAAAGTGAGAAAACTCGTGGGTTGGAATACAGACAGTTTAATAGGTAAAGTAAAAGCTGTGCATGAAAGCAAACCAAAACAAATAATTCATTCCCCACTTCCCATGAGCAGGCAGGTGTTCAGCCATTCCCAGGAAAGCAGGGCACTGTCACGTGTAATGGTGACTTGGGAAGACAAATGCCATCACTCCAAACATCCCCTCCTTCCTTCCTTCTTCTCCCAGCTCCATATGCTGAGCATGACACCATATGGTCTGGAATATCCCTTGGGACAGTTGGAGTCAGGTGTCCTGGCTGTGTCTCCTCCCTGTGCACCCCCAGCCCACTTGCTGGTGGGGTGGGGTGAGGAGCAAGAAAGGCCTTGACTCTGTAAGCACTACTCAGCAGTAAGGAAACCATGCCTGTGTTACCAGCACTGTTTCCAGTACAAATCCAAAACACAGTCCCATACCAGCCACTGTGAAGAAAATTAACTCTACCCCTGCCCAAACCAGCACACATGTAAGTGCTAAAGGACTTTTTATCAGGCCACACTGTAACAGAAAGAAAAGGTCAGTCTATGACTGAGGCTAGGCTAGCTGCAGTCACATTGAACACTAATACAACCTAAATATTATTTAATTACATGGAATTTACTCACAAAATTCTCGGGCAATTCGCTTGCTAAAGGTGAATGAGACCTTGGCTCATCCAAACACTGCTGCAGACTCTCATCTTCCAATATTAATTGACATTTATCCCATACTTATTGACATCCATCCTGTTTTTGTTGACATTCATCCCATATTCATTGAAAATAGTCGTAAAAGGGGATGTTGTTGTTGCAGAAGGAAGAGTTGAACTCCCAGAACTGAACAGCAGAAGCATAGTTGAGAAGGAGATGGATTAAATACTGGATGGATAGTTTGCATAGGTGGGAAAAGTCAAGAGTGAGAAGGGTGTACAAATTGCATGGAGGGAACCCTCTTGAATTTGTAGGTTGAAGTATTATAGTAGTCACACCAAGTTTTAATGAGCAGTTCCAGCACCCTGCATAAACAGAGCCTAAACGTTGTAGGTCCTTCACTGTTATGGTTACCCAGTGGCATCTGTGCCAATGGCTGTCCGTGGGTAGGGACAGCCAGACAAATCTGAAACACCAGGGAATCCTTTCCAGGTTCATTCTGTGGTGTTACGTGACTGTGTGCTTTATCAGTAAGGAAGCCAGCTGCCTCTTTGGCTGCTGTACTGCACTGAGGGATAACTGGGGGAGTGTGATGTGATGTGATAGGAGCAGGTTTAGTTAAATGAAGAGTCTTTTCCATTATCTCTCTGAAAAACAGTTGACGGTCTTGCCCTTCTCAAAAAAAAATTAGGCTCTGAAGCAAAATGTTTCCAAAATATATTATACTTTCCAACATGCCTTTAACTCTCTAGATATTAGTTCTAACTAATCACAGCTGCTTTCCTTTGAGCTGCCAGCTTGCTTGTAGGGAAGGCACAGAGAGCTGGCCAGTAAAAATGTGAATTATTTATGTTCCTGCTGAAAGCATGAGTCTTGTCACTAGAGCCTTGCTTGATTGAATGGATCTGTAGAGACAGTTTCTGTAGCAACCCAGAACCTTGCCCAGCAAAATGTCATCCAGTCACAGCTAGCAGAGAATGGTAATAAATATCTGTCTGGGTAGCTGAGAACGACACAGAAGTGCCAGAATAAAATATTATCTGGGTTTTGAGTCCTCCAGTCTCCCAAGACCCACCAAGATGTCATTTCAGAAGGTGAGCTGGTAGCATGTCAACCCAGGTATCCATAACAATTTAGCTGTGACAACATGAGGCTTCAAAAGATTACACAAGTCTTCGTGGGAACTCAGCAAGTCTTTAGAACCAGGACACTGCTGCAGTCAGGCTCTTACTGGTAACCTGGCTATTTAGAATCAATATAAATAAGAATGTGGTTCACAAAAGCTCACTGTCACATCTTTGGGTGCTATATCCACATACCAAATGCTAGGTTTGATAACACTATCCATAATGTTTCTAAATCTGCCTGTGCTGGTTTAAAAGTAAACCAGCAGGACAAATGAACCCAACTCAAGAGAGATTTTAAGTCAGTTACAATTTACTAAAAAGATTACAATAAATACAGTGATACAGAAAAAACTGGTTTTAACCCACAAAGACAGACGTATAACCCAGCACCCCGGGACAAGAACAGAATAGTCTTCGTTAGCCCCTGTGCTGAGCACCACATGGCTCCCCTGGGTGCAAAGTAAAAGGAAAGAAAAACCTGTTGCTCTGGATGACGGCTGCAGTCCTGCTGAAGTTCTGGTCCTCCTCTGGATCCGAGGAGTGGTACTGGAATTCCCAAAACTCCAAGATTATATCTGGTTGGGTTCAGGTGGGAATGTCCAGTACCTCCTCCAGGGCTGGCAGTTTCACCATAGGTGATTTAACTCTGTGAGTCATGGGATATTTGGGAATCTTTGATAGACTAGGTCATTGCAGCTGCCTATTATGCCAGTCCTTTGCGGCCCATAAGCAGAGTTGCCCCCTCAGGCTGGGTGTGAAGGTGCTCATGCCTCCCTGGAGGGGAGTTATCACAGCTGAGTCATTGGTGTGAAAATAAAGAAACACTTCTCACAGAGTTCTTTAACACTCGGCTTGTAAGCTGAGGTGTCAGGTGTGCCCTGGGCAGCTGCTGCAAACGATCCATTATTAACAGTCCATCAGAAATGACATAGAGGGTGTAGAATACACAGTTTTGGTTATAACCACATAGTGATAAACTGATCCTGGCCCCTGTAACTAGGACACTGCCTTTTTTATTTTCCCCCACAGTATT